TGCAGCAAGTGTCTTTGAGATGCTGTGGAAGCTGTGTGGAAGGTCTATAAGGAGATGGATGGCACATTCACAAAAAATGTGACTGTTGTTTATGATGGAATGTGGATGACTCGCGGTCACACTTCGCACATTGGAGTAGGAACTGCGATTGAATTCTACACGGGTTTGGTGTTGGACTCTGTCGTGCTATCAAACTTGTTCCATGCATGCACGCTGGGCCAGAAAGAAGAGCATGTGTGCTAGAAGAACACTGATGTGAAGTCGGGAAGGATGGAAGTGAAAGCTGCGTTAGCTCTCTTTCACCGTTCCTTGGCTAAGAATGACCTGCATAGCACTAACATTGTTTGTGACGGTGACAGCCGAACCTTTCAAGCACTCAGTGAGGACGAGACATACGGGTTGATTGTATTCACTAAAGAGGACTGCGTGAACCATGTACAAAAGAGGATGGGTTCCGCCTTGCAATCTCTAGTCTCTAAGGCTAAGGAGGGCGAGCCTCTTGGGGGAAGAGGTGGCCTCACCGAGGACCTAATCAAGTGGCTTACTATCTACTACGGGATGGCCCTGCGCAACAACTCCGATGTCGACAGAATGCAAACAGCAGTGATGGCAACATTCCACCATGTGACGTCAACAGATGAGCAGCTGCATCATGACCTTTGTCCTCCCGGTCCCCTCAGCTGGTACAGGCACCGAGCAGCAGAAGCCGAAGGGAAACCACAGTTAGCATACAAATAAAAGCTCGCGAGTCGTGTTGGCGCCGCACTCCTGCCCGTCTACCAGCGCCTTTCAGAGCCTCAGCTCCTCCAACGGTGCATAGGTGGAAAAACCCGGAATGCAGCCGAGAGCCTCCACTCTGTGATTTGGTCCATCCTGCCCAAGGACGGGCATGCGTCGTTGATTGCAGCAGAGACTGCTGTCAGCGAGGCGATCTGCCGCTTCAACTCTGGGAACTCACGTGCCTACAGAGAGTTCTGCTCCTCCCGCGGCATTCAGCCAGGAGGATTGGCGCTCCGCAGGGCCACAGAGAAGGATGCCGCTGGGCAGAAGAAAGCTGCACATGCTCACCACGCCAGAGGACAGAGGACTAAGAAGTGCCATGTCCAAAAGGACACAAAAGACTATAACCCTGGGGGTTATAGTCATCTTTGAACTTTAGGCCGCGTTTTCTATGAACATTATATTTGGCTGTCGGCTCGGCTTGTGGAACCAATATCTTGGGAACCCCTTGGGCTATTTGGCTTCCGTACATTATTTAATATTCCTTAGGCTATTGCATGCATGGTGACATTCCCAGTTTTCTAAAGCCATGTTCCTAAGATTTATGAAGCCGCTTTTCGAAAGAATCCCATGTGGGTTCATCTCAGCTTTACAAAAGAAATCATGATTAAAAAATTACAATAAAAAAAATTTAAAAAAGCAGGGATGTCATGATATGTGCACACCTTTGGGCATGCACTCAAAGTCCAAGTGGCTCTCTATTATGTTTTGAGAATCTGGAGGCGCTCCACTAGCTTTCGAAAAGTAAAATATTGTAAATAAAATGTTACCAGATATATCACAATTAAAATTTTCCTGTATTATGGCATAGTTATTATTTCTGTATGTTTCAAATTTGAGCAAAATCCTCTCATAAATAACGCAGCTTTGGTCGATCCCCACTTTTTGGTAGACGAGGAGTTTGGAAGATAAAGCGAGTGACTCTAGTTGCTTGCCCGTGCCTATCAGACATCACACGACAGGAATCGGGTGGGAGGGGGGGGGGGGGGCGGGGGGCCGATGTTTCTGAATTTATATGTTGCAGATATTCAGTCAGACAAACGGGGTGGGCGATCTCTTGGGGAAGGGCGCCTTTACGGAATTTTACAATAGGGGAGTTAGACGTAATAGCAGTTCTGGTACGACTGTGAACAATGAAGCGTGGAAGATGAGCATTATGACTAGGGGTGTGCAAATACTCGAATATATGAACAAATCCAATAGTAAGTTCCCAAAAAACTCGATTCGCGAAACGACTTCCTAGTATTCGGTCGCTCGAATATCTGGTATATTTGGGGAAAGACTCGTGGTCGTCTCAGAGCCGACGAAGGAGCTGTTTTTTCTCCCGATTTTAGCTGAGTGACGTTTGACAGACCGTGCGAGAAACGCCTCTTGGTCCTACCATCCTGGCGCACAGGCTAGGAAGAAGTTTTAAAAAAAGTAACGAACACCACAAACCTTATAGCATGCAGATTTAATTACTATCGTGACACAATCTAATCTTAAATCACATTCGAAACGTTCCGTCTGCGCCGCCTGCAAATATGAATCGTCAAGTAAAGCCCTTCGTTTCACATTGAAGCGTCGACGTGGGACGCACTTGGCACAGTCACAAAATCGACAACTGCGAGATCACGAAAAGAAAACTGCATTAACCTTGCCGACGGAACCGGCTGGGTTGTTATCGTCGTTTTGGAATCGCAAGCCACAAGTTCGAACTTGGAACGAAACAGAACAGAAAGAAAATAGCGTGCCTAGATTTGTGAGTGTTTCCAACCGCTCGATAGCCGCGTTTGAAATACGGACCGTGAGAAAGTGAGGAAAGGTCGAAAGCGTGGATTGCGTGCAGGCGTCGTCGCTGTTCAGTCGTTTCTCTTCTTTTTACGCGACAATATGGTGGACGCGCACTTGCTACCAGTCTGAGCAGGAGCAGTCTCCCTGGCAGGGTGTCTAGCAACCGGGAATTGTCAGGGGAATTTTAGTTACCGGGAAAAATCGGGGAATTGTCAGGGATATTGTCAAAAGGCGAGCCCAGTCAGGGAAAATGAGCCGGAAATGCCATCGACTGCCGTAAGCAAAGACTTGAGGGCTTGGGGTCAGAAAAATAGGCATTAAATTCTGCTTTGAGCGCTGCGCCGGCTCTGCTCACCCGATGTAGAGTGTGCTACCCGCTGCAAAGAGAACAGCCGACAAATCCAGTCCAAGCCTTGGATTGCACTGAGCGCGCGACACTAGGCTAGATCCTGTTAAAGGTACTTGATTTAGTTACAAATGAGGAAGCTGCAGAACCCAATCCAAGCCTTAAGCCGAAAGTATCCGAAAGTGTCATGTGAACATGTGTGGTTGAGACTCCCATCTGAGTGAGCCTACAGGACTATCTCTTCCTTTCCAAACACCTTCTCTCTCTCTCTCTGCGTCGTGTTTTCATTGTGTTTTCGGAAGTGGCCTCTTCACTGGCGATGTCGGCGGCAAGAAAGTGCTCGTTTATTTTGGACTGGACGTACCCAAATATTTCGAAATATGCAAGTTGGATTAAGTTCTTTCAAAATGACCCTCACAATGCTCAATGCCTCAATGCCGCCTCTACAGTTGTCAGGGAACTTCACCTGAAATTGTCAGGGAAGACGTGGAAAAGTCAGGGAATTTCAAAATACCTTAATATTTTGCTAGACACCCTGCCTGGTTTGAATTTCGCTTGCTTCCTTTTTTAAATCTAGGCTTTCTAAAGCAGGATAGATGGACGGAGGAATGGATGTGTAGCTGCCGTCGTACGGTGACTTGTGCCACCTAACCACATTTGTTTTCCTTATTCAGACTAAATATTGTTTAAGCCCGTTTAATCAGATTTAACCTCTATCTGTTTATTCTTATAAAATACAATCCTGTACGTCCTTTTCGCCCTTCAAATTGAGACCAAACATTCCGAGATATACAGATATCAAAAAGATAGGGCGCGTCGTGATGTTAGTTTTGCCGAGGAAGAAAAACCATGCACGGTCGTAACTTTGGTTTATCTATGACGGTTGGGGTAGATAGATTATGTTTGCAGCGTAAAAGCTGGATCTCAAAATCCACTTTAATGCTCCATATCCAACAGCTTCTTTTTTTTTTTTTTGCATCGTAGCTTTTATATATTTGAGCTGCTGTTCCATAGCAGATGCATATTTTGCACCGGGTGCATACCCTGCACATAGAATATTCTAATCCGTAGCACAATTAATTCCGAGAATTAGAAACACTATTCAATATTTGATTCGATGGTCGGCTTAATTTTCTTAGTTTGATTTGGCGTTTGATTCAAGAACTGCTCTTGAGTATTCGCACAGCTCTAATTATGACGTAAGCGGGAGTAATGTTGATTCCTTTGTAGTCCGTACCGTGTGTCGGAGCCTTTTAAACTGAGATAATTTGTCAGTTGAGTGGAGCTTGTCAAGCACTAGAATGAGCTGACTTTGCAATGCCAGGAGGTGAAGGTTTTTGCTTTTGGCAAACTTTTGGCCTTTCCGCTCCGTGTGCACTAGTTCAAAGTTGTGTAGAATTTGTCTTATAAACACAGTTCTTTGGACACTGGTATTTTGTTGCGCCTGAAATCGACCCCTGTATCCAAGCACCGGTCATCCTTTATTGATCTCCTAAAAGAGAACTTGCCAATAAGCTTCCTCCCTTTTTGGTTTTAAACAAAATGGTGTTTTCTTAAACAAAAAAGAATCGGGCAATCGAGCGCATAAGTTCGCAATGCCTCTCCTGCATGTCGCCGTCGCAGCACTAAAGTTCGACAGGGGTCATTTTTGAGATGTGATGTTGAAAGTGTGGAAAATTCACTCGACAGAAATGGAATGAATGATGATCATATAATTTTAAGAGATAGTAGCAGAGAAGTAAGTTTGAGCTGTTGTTTTGCATGTATTAATGAGGAACACTTTCTTTTTGGGGACAGGTCACTGTACCTGTGGCATGCCTAACTCTGAGTGGGTCCGAAATTTGATAACCGAGCATGGTGGAAGCAAGATCCCGTTTTCTGGTTGCCAGAATTCCAGCGGCAGTTGCTGGGCTGTCGAAATATCCGAAAGAATGCCAAACTCTCCCTGCATGAAGGACTTTGGTTCTTGTGCCAGATGAACACCACGTGGCGACTTGTCTATCTTGCGGAGAATAGGAGGCTGGCCCTTAGAATTGTGCAACATGCTGCCTGTTGTAGCTAAATTTGAATATTGTGTAATAGACAACTCGTTTTTTTCCAGGCTGGTGTGATTGGTGGTATCCTGGTCATCATTTTGAGTGTTCGGGTAAGTCTTTTTCTTTTTCAGTTTCTTTGATGGGGGCAAGTCAAAGCATGTAATGAGCACCACAAAGAGGGCCTGCTTAAGATTTTCTGGTATCTGAAGTTGCATGGCGAACGCAAGCTCTTTTGTAGCGTGCCCCATGTCGTCACATGCCTTCAGTTTGGAAGGAGGAGGATTGGGGTTAAACTTATTGGTGCTGCCAACTACGAGGGCCGATTGAAAAGTAATGAGACCAATATTTTTTTACCTATTCAGAATTGGGTAACTCAATGGGCCCTGATCACCTTTTTTCTTTTTGAAGTAGTGCTCATTGCATCCAATATATTGCTTAGAACATTAAAAAAAAAAAAAAAGATAGGAGGTGGAAAATAATGTTTTGTGACATCACTCTCCGCGCTGCAGCCTCGACTTCGTTCATTTCATCCTATGAAGAAAAATTCCTTTCTAGCAGTTCTTTTTTTCTTTTTTCACCGTTGAAAATGGCCAAAATTCGCACGGCGGTAAGCCCGGGCTATAGGAAAAGCCTTACGGCGCCGTTACCATTCCTTAACACAAAATTGAATCGCGCACCTCTGCCATATTCTCACGTCTTTGTCATCTGCCGTGACGGTGCTTTATCAGTTGCTTTGGCTTCCTGCGACGGAACACTAAAGACTATGACGGTCCAGCTGCAGGTCCGGACATGTGGATGTATTCGTACCTTCACAAATATCAGCACAACACTGCCCGTCTACCTCCATACAAAAATGAATGGAAGCAGTCTTGTTGGTTCTCAATCGGCCCTCAGACAGGGACATGTCCCTACATTTAGGGACTTTTATGGTTTCTTTTGGCGTGAATCGGGGGACAGAACTCTGTGCCTATTTTGTTCCCCAGGGTTTTTGTTTTTGGCTTCGAAATAATATATATTTTGAAAGCACGTGGTCGCTGTGTAGTGATGTCCGATAAAGGTTAGGATACTCATCAGCAGATATCTATATTGTAAGATATGCGCCTGCTAGGCGCGACTGCGAGCGTACCTTCGCGTCAATGGAAGAAGACGACGAGTGAAGTTTTGTGAGTGCTCGTGCTTGTACAGTTCGGACCGCTGATCGAACCGCCAGTTCATCATGTACTGTCCCGAACCTGACCTGTATATATGTACATAGCTTCAATGTAATTAAATGTACATAACAAATTTGGGGACGAGGAAATCGGAAAAAGCGGGCGAGACTCCGGCAACTCATCATGGTTGAAAGGACATCGCTGACATTTGAAGCTTTCCAGGCTGGTAAGCCGGAGACATGGCCATTATACCTTCAACGGCTGGAATTCCACTTTGAAGCCCATGGGATCGCTACACCCAAGATGAAGCGAGCCGTGTTCTGCAGCGTTTGCGGAGCCGAGACCTATGCAATACTGCATTCCCTCTGCGCGCCAACGACACCTTCAGAGACGGACTACGCTGACATCATTAAGAAGTTGGGAAATCACTTTGCACCAAAGCCCTCGGAGATCGTGGAACGCTTTAAGTTTCATAAGCGGGCACAGCACAGCGACGAACCCATGGCTGCGTTCATCGCGGACTTACGCCGTATTGCAGTTACCTGCAACTTCGGAGATGCCCTCGACAGCAGTTTGCGCGACCAGATTGTCTGTGGAGTTGAAGATGAGGCCTTGCAACGACGTCTGCTGAGCGAAGCCGAGCTTACGTTGGCTCAACCGGAGAAGTTGGCAATAGCAGCGGAATGTGCGAAGAACAATGCCATGGAGATTAGGACTACGCCTAAGGACGTCAGCCAAATCCACAGCGTGGCTAAAGATGGACCTGGACCGTCACCGCCTGCACAACATCATGCGAAGCCTGAAACCAAGCAAGCGACTTCCGTGTGCTATCGATGCAACGGGGCACACTCTCCTCAGGATTGCCACTTCAAGAACGCCACATGCCTGTTCTGTGGCCGCAAAGGGCATATTGTCAAAGCCTGTCTTCAAAAGAAGGCTAAGAAAAGTCCTCCAAGAGCAAGACGGGGGACGGCGCAAGCTGATCTTTTAGACGGCGAGGCCACCAAGATGTACGAGCTGTACAACCTCTCGTCCAACGAACCTGCTATCCTCGTAGACGTCGACATCGACGGACAGCCAACAGCGATGGAGGTTGACTCAGGATGCATGTTCTCTGTCATAAGCAGGAGAACAATGGCACGACTTCATATTCCAAATCAGAGGCTGAAACCATCTACGGTAGCGCTACGCACATATACGAAGAAGCCTGTTATCGTCCTAGGAAGAGTACTCGTGGAGGTTAAACACGAAGAAAGGTCGGCAACTCTGCCACTTCTGGTGGTCAAGGGAGAGTACGCAAGCCTTCTTGGACGAACTGGTTCAAGCATCTATGAATCGGCCTCACAGGTGTCCATCAACTCAGGAACACCCAGGAGGGTAGCGGATTCCTGGAGGAGTTCAAGGAAATCTTCGACGCTGGCCTGGGAAAGAGTCGGGGACCACCCATCCGTGTGGAGGTCGACAGATCTGCTGCACCTAAGTTTTGCAAGTCAAGGCAAGTTCCCTATGCGATGCGTCCGAAGGTGGAGCAAGAACTAGAAAAGTTGGTCCAGCAGGGAATCCTTGAACCTGTAAAACACTCAAATTGGGCTACACCGATAGTTCCAATCCTGAAAAAGAGTGGTGAATTGCGGATTTGCGGTGACTATAAAAGTACCGTAAACAAGGCAGTGAAGTGGGAATCTTACCCATTGCCCACGCCAGAGCAACTCCTAAACAACTTAGCGGGTTGCCGTCACTTTACACAGCTTGACCTTGCACAGGCCTACCAGCAGTTGACCGTCGATGATGAGTCGGCAAAGCTTTTCACCATCACGACGCACAAGGGACTTTTCAAGGTTAACCGTCTTCCATTTGGAGTATCCGTCGCCGTAGCGATCTTCGAGCGTTATATGGAGGAGTTACTTGCCGGAATTGAAGGAGTACTAATTTTTTTAGATGACATACTTATCGGCGGAGAATCCAAAGAACAGCACGATAGATGCCTGCGAGCTGTGCTGCAGCGATTCAAGGAAGACGGTTTACGCCTTAACAAGGCAAAATGTACGTTCAACACCATGCAAGTCGTGTTTTTGGGATTCAGGATTGACAAGGACGGGGTGCGACCAACTGAAGACAAGGTCAAGGCCATTTATGAAGCTCCAGAGCCCAAGAACAAACAGGAACTACAGTCATTCCTGGGCTTGCTTAACTTCTACCATCGTTTCCTCAAGGGAGCTGCTCACACCTTGGAGCCGTTGTACAGACTGCTGGATAAGGGGGCGAGCTGGACATGGACCGTTCTCGAAGCTGAGGCTTATCGCAAGGCGAAAGAACTGCTCAAATCAATGGCAGTTCTGGCTCACTACGATATCAGCAAGCCTTTATTATTGACCTGCGATGCTTCGCCTTACGGTCTTGGAGCTGTCTTGAGTCACGTGGCCGACTCTGGGCAAGAGTCACCAATAGCTTACGGGTCCAGAACCCTAAGCAAAGCTGAGCGAAATTACTCGCAAACTGATCGTGAGGCCCTGGCGATCATATATGGTGTCAAAAAGTTTCACCAGTACATCTATGGCCGCCCGGTGACCATAATCACAGATCATAAGCCTCTGCTAGGATTGCTGAGTCCGCACAAGGAAATTCCAGCTATGGTGTCACCAAGAGTTCTCAGGTGGAGTCTAATGCTAGCCGCATACCACTACGATCTGCAGTACCGTCCGGGAAGCAAGATAGGAAACGCTGATGCACTCAGTCGACTGCCTATACCTGCAACAGAGCTGGACGACATTCCTGTCGCAGACGTATGGATGCTAGAGACCGCTCCAGAACAGCCTTGGAACTCCGAAAAAATTGCAGCATCCACGAGAAAAGATTCCGTGCTTGCGCGAGTCCAGCGCTGGATCATGCATGGGTGGCCAGATGACAAGCAACACGAACAGTTCAAACCCTATACAACTAGGAAAGATGAACTATCAACTTATAAGGGGTGCATCATTTGGGGAAGCCGGCTTGTTATTCCCAAAGTGGCACAATCCACTGTACTCCACATCTTACACACAGCCCATCCAGGCATTGTAAGGATGAAGGCACTAGCGAGGAGTACAGTCTGGTGGCCTGGCATCGACCATGACATTGAAGAAAAGGCTGCAAGTTGCTCCACATGCCAAGAACACAGACCATCAATGCCACGGGCACCAGTGCATCCCTGGGAGACGACGCAACATCCCTGGTCACGTCTACACATTGACTTTGTAGGACCTTTCAAGGGAAAGATCTTTCTGATCGTGGTCGATTCATTCTCGAAATGGCTCGATGTATGTATTATGAATTCTATGTCTTCCTCAACCGTCGTACAGAAACTGAGGATGTTGTTTGCCGTACACGGAGTGCCAGACGTCATTGTCAGTAATAATGGCACAGCCTTCGTTTCGGCCGAATTCAAGGAGTTTACAAGCCGCAACCAGATTCGACACGTGGCAGTGGCACCTTACCACCCTTCATCGAATGGCCAGGCCGAACGAATGGTGAGAGAAACCAAGGAGGCACTCACTCACATAAATTCAGGCGACGTAAACGTCGATTTGGCGCGATTTTTGTTCCGTCAACATACACTGCCGCATTCCTCAACGGGCAGGTGTCCTGCGGAACTATTGATGAACCGACGCCTGAAAACAGCATTAGATCGCCTGCATCCAGATTCTCAGTTCCATTCATCATGGAAACAAGAGGACAAGTTTCTCCAGGAAGGGAAGAAGGCACGACTATTTACAGTAGGTGAAAACGTTTATGCAAGAAATTACTTGTCCGGTGCCAAGTGGACCCCTGGCGTAGTCACAGCCGTGACCGGTCCACTATCCTATAGGATTAAAACCGAAGATGGACGATCTTGGCGTCGCCATGTTGACCAGTTGCGCAGAAGGCCAGCGACAACTTCTGCAGGAAACTCGGAAGATAACTCTTCAGTTGACTTGAGTTTAACTGCTCTACCTGAAGCGGTCTCCGAAGAAGCGGACGTTAGGTCCGATGCCACACCAGCAGTCCCACCAGCTGGTTCTACAACAGTTTTCCCCTAGCAACTCTTCGAGACCTCAAAGAGCAACACGCCGCCCTACTTATCTTAACGACTATGTGCCTTAGTCTAGTAGGGAGGAGTGTAAGATATGCGCCTGCTAGGCGCGACTGCGAGCGTACCTTCGCGTCAATGGAAGAAGACGACGAGTGAAGTTTTGTGAGTGCTCGTGCTTGTACAGTTCGGACCGCTGATCGAACCGCCAGTCCATCATGTACTGTCCCGAACCTGACCTGTATATATGTACGAAGCTTCAATGTAATTAAATGTACATAACATATATATTGCTGTCTGGGGAGCCGATAGCGCTGTCACCCACTGACAGGCTTTTGTTTGGTAGATTTCGTTCAGAGACAGAGCTCTGTGAGGGAGATTCATTGTGCTACAGCTTCTGTAATTTCATGCCTGGCCCTTTGATATGTGATCCTATATTTACTTATTTATTTGACATACTGTGGGTATGTCAAAGATGCATACTGGAGTCACAAGCATATATACATGACATTAAGAGGATAGACTAGTAAATTTCCTGAATGAATATGAAAACAAAGAAACGAGAAAAAGATTGCCTCTTAGCAACCGACATTGTGCTTGCTGAAGCTTGTCTAGGGTTGAATATGAGGGGCGGTAAGCCTCAGAACCAGCAGAGCAGAAAAACAGAAATGAAGCACTCTATCCAGTTGTCTCGTTGGAGGCATGTGCAGTGGCGCGGCTTTGGCTGCACGAGATAATCGCGCATAAAAGAGAGTTCCTCGAAGCTTACTTTTGTTTTTAGCTCCATAACACAGAAGTCAGGTCTGTTCAGTCTTTCTTTTCAATTTGTCCTTTTAGAATGAGTCTGTGAAAAGGAAACCACTAAAAGCATTATCTTGAAATGTGTCTTTTTTTTTGGATTTTTCATCCCTTGAAAGTTGATGAATTTAGTTTGAGCCCACGGGGCTCCGACACAAATTTCTGTTGTGACTCCTTTCGGTCATCCTCTTGCGGCGACATCGCCCGTTTATTTGCTTATCGTTTTCACCTCCCAAGCCTGTTGAAAAAAACAAAAAAAACCCAAAAAGGCTAGCTTTTAAGGTGAACGATCTTACTGTCCGTACAGATCTACATCTTCGTCATAGTGGCGGTCTACTACAAGCTGCTGCTCCAAAGCCTGCCCTTCGTGCTCCAGAGTGACGAGGAGGTGGAACTCATCAGCCACAGTGGCTCGCCGGGGCTCGAGTCCAACGGTTCCGGTGCCAGTCCGGATTTTGGCGGATCTCTGGTGGAGTTTCCCGGCGTGTCCATATGAAGCTCTGCCGCCACCATGCTCAGTGCCACAGCGCGGGTGCCCCCTCCTCTCCGCGCGCTTTGGCGACCCCAGTGCCACCCAGCAACGCCAGTGTCCGCCGTCGGATGTCAGCTTGGATCTAGTCCGACGGAAGTCGTCCGGCTTTTTTCCGAAGTGACCTCCGGCCGGAGGTACGTCGGAGCGGAAATGGCTTCACTTCCAACGAGACGTAGCTGCCGGTTGAGGTTAGAACGCGCGTTTTCCGTTCGTTTGCCGTTTGCTGAGCGTCTTTGAAAGTGGGTGCGGCTTCGGCTCTGCCTCCGGTAGTGGTGCAGACTCTCCGAGGTATGCCGGGCGTCCCGTAATCGGCAATGCCCCGTCGTGACAACGGGCGTTGCGACTTGCTTGTCCAGGACCGAAGCGTGCCGCCGTTCGTTTTCGGCACTCCGCGTGCTTCCGGATGCTGCTGGGCTGACTCCGCGCTTGTCAGTGTTGCTTTGTCCGTCGCCAAGTTTCGAGTGCCTCCACCTGTCCTTTTGAATCCGGAGATGACCAGCTTTTCGAATTAACTCTTCGGCCGTTTTTGAGCACCGTCGTTCGATTGCGGGCACCTTGGGGACCTTCGTCGGCTCGATACTTGAACACACCGTAGTTTCTATTACACCTAGTAATTGAGCTTGGGTCTCATTAACCTTGGAAATAAATGGAATCCGTATTCGCCCTACGCGGCAGACTTGTGCCACGATTTCGAAGGTTTTTCGTAAGTGGTTTCTGCTTCCGTGGAAACCGGGTCCGCGTTTAGTCTCGTAGTGATAGTTTCGTTGAACACCGAAATTGCAACACTTCGTCGACTGAGCTAGCGGTTCTGTCACGTCTTCTTTATTTGAGGGCCTTTCGCGGTGGGCGGGTCAAAATCTAGTCAAAATGGTGCTGTGGTCGTTGTCCGCCAACTTGCGTCGCTCGCTTCGTTTCTTGCTTAAATCATCTAAGACGGGGGGAGCGTGCCACTAGTTCCACTTCCCCTCTTGTGGGTGGCTTCCCCGTAGCTTCTGAATCCTACCAAAGTTAAGGGGTCTGCTTCAAAAGTAAGAAAAAAACCAAAGAAAAGTGAAGCTGCCTCTGCCAACTGCCACCTCCAACATGGCGCCGCTGTAACACTAGTCGTTGAGGGCATCCTGTGCACTTTGGAGCGTAGCTGCGGCCTCTTTGTCTTTCGGTGTGCGCCTCTCGAGCTCCGGTTTTTGATAATCTCGCCAACCCGCCAATCACGAGAAAGGATGATGAAAGGTTTGTCATCACCTCACCATCTTTACCTAAAGGGGAGCTACATCAGTTTTTTTAGCTACGCAAACTAAACACATTTTTAGAATACCCCGGTTTTACACTTTCTGGCATGCTATTATGGTCTCTAAATTCAAATTAGCCAGTGATAAAACGTCAAATGAAGGCGTTGCCAAGAGCAACATTCAAATTTTTCCACGCTTAACTTGCGAGTTTAGCAGGTGGTCTAAGAAACAGTATTTTGTGCGTGTATTTTTTTTTTTTTTCTGCTGGCTCGAGTTTGACCAGCATCCACTTCCCACCGTCAAACTTCCTGTAAGCTTCCAGGAACGAGCCGCACTGCCCCCATGTTGCCCGACATCTGACTTAGTGATTTTCGTGTTGCCGGTAGAGCCCTGGGCACCTCAGACCAAATATACAACTTCAAAAACTTTGGGAAAGAAAAAAAAAAAATTATTGTGGTTCATAATTTGGGGTTTTAGTTCAGATGTGTCCATTAAAATGTGTTGGACCAATTTTGAGACAAGTCAGCCACTCAAAATTTTGCCTTCGTTCATTTGTTGCCTGCACACTGTCTGTAAGCCACACTTGTAAGAGCGGTCCAGCATTCTGAAAATGGCAAACGCGTCGTGAATGCCACAGCCGCAAGGGCTGTGTGTTTGGCAAGTCTGTTCAGTTTTTGCTTTTAATGACTGCGGCCGGGGCGTACGTAAGAGAAGCAGGCGTGCGGCATTAAGTTATGTTAGTCTTCCTCGGATGAACTGCACCTGTTCTGAAGTGTCTCGTGCCGCATCTTTAAAACTTTTGTTAGGCTCCAGTGCCATTGGGCCTCTTGGGGTCGTGCTTATGCAGACTTGGATATGTGAATTTCGCACAGGGGTTGGTCTATTATCTTATTGCATGTGAATTTAGTAATGAAAAATGGGTACTTGGGCGGCCGAGCGTTGGGATAAATAAGGATGGGGTCCTGTACTAGACATAGTAAACATTCAACTTGGTAAGGTATAGCGGTAGACTAGTGGATGCATAGAAACTCTTTCTGAAGGTGCAAATGTCCTGCTATGGAGACAAAGGAGAGAACACCACTGCAAAATATGCTCGGGCAAAAAGCTGAAGAAAAGAAGGCACCACCGCAACACTAGCAACTGTGTGTCAAACGAGCGCTTTCCGAGAGAAATCGGAGCAGGGTAGACTTTCTTTCTTCTTTATATGTAAACTTGTCCCATTGAAGACTTTTTTCTATAAAAATTATATTTAAAATTGGCAAGTTGCACGGAAATTGAACAAAACATTTGTTTGGCCTTGGGGTGGTGCTTGTTGCTCTCACTATTAATTCCTGGCTATCTGTTTTTTTCGTTCAAGAGTTCTTCATTGTGGTACAGTTGGAGTGGCAATGGAGGTCTCGAGTGACACTCATGATCACCGTATTTTCTGGGCTATAGTCTGCACCCAGTTTACAGTAAGTCGCAAAGGCCAATTTAGGCCGAAAAAAAAGTTTTTGCCTAGATAGTCCACATTCAGTGCATAGTCCGCACAACATGCATAATCCGCACCTTGTGCTTAGTCGACACGAAAATCTTCTGATAGATGGCACACCTTGACAAATGTCTGTTTTCTTAGCTCACAAAGAAGCTTGTGTTGTGCATAAATCATCAACATACTCTTTCATTCCCAAAATTTGTCACGTCTCGTCATAATGAACGATCTTGAAAAAACTAAATTCCTGTGTATTCTGTAGGCATAGATAGACTGCACAGGGGGGGGGCTTAAAATTTCAGCTTTAAAACATGTGGAGTCAGTGGACTATAACCCAGGAGAAACGGTAGTAGCCAAGGGGTTAAAGGGACCATGAAAGAATTTTCTGATTGTTACTTAATAGTGACCCCTTTAAATCCCAAACGTTTGTGGAACTCGGAATCTTTTGTAACTTCAGTGCGTCAGCTTTAGCAGGAAAAAAAACAAAAAAAAACAACAACAATGAAAACCAGAGTTTGATGTGTCCTCAGCCCGCCAACGAAACGAGCATTCACGTGTCGTGACATCTTGGGCCTTGGTGATACTTTTGGTGCCCGCAGTTCTCGCTCTTCGGCACATGTCTTCGCAGTCACATGCCTAGGTCGAAAGCTTACAGCACGTGTTCTGCACCAAGAAACGTGAGGAAGACTGCATGCTGTGCGTTCCGGCAGCCCGAGGACTTTTTCTAGCCTGGTTTGTACGTAATTTTGAGGCCGTAGTTTGCTTTGCTTTGAAGGTTTTCCCTTTGTTAGTCATTGTTTTTGAGGGTCATTTCAATTTTTAAACTTGTCCACTTTCGTAAACATGTTTACAATTAGAGTTACCCGACTAGAGAGACCATTTCATGATGTAACATTCAAATGTCCCATTCGTTTTCTTTCGACAATTTCACCAAATTTTGTACAATCGCTCGGTAGATTGCCTCACCGAGTCGGCATGCATTGCTCTGCTTCTAAGCGTACCAGACTATACCCCATTTCAGCTTAACTTGGCAGACGACGTAAACTAGTGCCTCGTCCCCTCCTCCACGAGATATGCATCCACGCCGAAAAGTAGTCGTGGTACGTTTCTGCTTTGAATGCAGCAGACCTTTTGTCAAAGTACCGAGCAGCAGTGAGGACACTGGGAGCGTAGGTATGTGGGCTGCACGTGCTTGCCTCATCTTCGTAAAGGTTTTAAAGTAGGGCTTTAACGAATGCATGTGCAAAGTTTCACGGCAAAATTCCACTTGAGCAGACTTCAAGCTTCTTAAGGAAATGTTTTAAAGTGGAAGTTAACTGAATGCCTATAATACAATAAAAAATTTTGGTAGGGACGTTTACAGAAGTTTGTTTATCGGAGTAGTTTGTTCGAGTGGTATTTCACTGCATTTATCTTACATTTCACTGCAGATGCCAGCACGTGCTGGCATCTGCAGTATTACTCAATTGTTTTTTGCGCATTCATTTTCACCTCAGATTGATACTGTTAGGAATGTTTCTTTTCACATACGTTGGAATTTTGTTGGGCCTTCCGAGAGTGCAGTTGCCCTGAGCAATCAAACAATCATTTGGAAATCGGTGTTCCTGAAGCGGCTTCGTAACATGAATTGGCAAGCCAATATATAGCTTTGCGGATGCTTAAATGGCTCTCTGAAACAGTCTCCCCACATGTACACGGCGCTTCGGGAGCGGCAGACACTCCTCCAACTTTTTGGTTCAACAGCAGACGACAACTGCCTGCCTAGCAGACGACAGCTGCCTAGCAGACGACACCCGCCTCCTGTGTCCTGCACTTCCGGTGCAGTAATACGTACGCTCCTGCGGAATGGTGTTGTATTCCTCAGTCCTAAGCTCTTGGTCCTGGTCCAGATGGTGCAATAACCCAAGCAATTTTGGTGTTTTGTCCCTTAGAACGGGTTTTCGGGCTGTAGCACAAACTCCTGGGATCGGGTCCGACTCAAAATGGGTGAGCAACTCGAATATCTTGGACACGCTTGTGGAGGCAGCAAGCAGCCAGTCAGGAACGCAATATTTTTGCGTGACCTCCACTGTACTGATGATGACAATAACTTGATGTAGGTTTTAACATAATTTTGTTTAGCAATGGATCCTTTTTGCGGCTAAATGGCTTCGGTGAGATCAGTTAGGGTCCTGAACATTATTTAAAGGTATTAAAGCACGTAACTAACGCTTTTGAGTTGAACCGGTGCAAGAAAATTAGCATTTTAACGACGACATAGCTATTCGAATTTGAGTGGTCGCTACGGTGCTTGTTGCTGGTGTTGCGACGTCGAGACACTGGGCAAAATTGCGCCATCTGAAACGGCCTTTTTGGATTACTGAGGGCCTGGCCTCCGCAGTTTGCCGGATTATCGTGAACTGGAGCATAGCTTGGGATTTGCAAGGGGTGACCATTTGCAGTGCTGCACCGTTTTCCTTGTTATGCATTCATCTCGACTTTCTTTTTTTCTCGTGTTTTGCAGGGGGACCTTGGCGAATTCAGAATGTATTTATGGTGGACGCCTTATTTAGGCTGGTTTAAGTTCCGATCCCATCGTGTCTCAACAAGTGGAAAGCCCCCATTTAGTGCACCTCTAAAATGTCCAAAAATCAAGATTGTGGCAAAAAAAGAAAAAAAAAATGGTACCAAACACTTTCACGTAATAAGGCACAGAAATTCATACTGCTGTAGATCCCGTTGCATTTTTTTTTATGTTCACCTTTGGTTTTGCTTATATTTAGCTTCGTGTAAATGTTTGTTGACTTCTGGCCCTCTCCGACATCTTTGGCCTCTTTTGTGGGCCCCAGCTTTGTGCTGCATCGCAACATAGAAATGTGACTCCGAAAATGCTCACAAGCGTATGCCATTTTTGCCCCATCGATTACTCGTGTCGCTTCATTTCCCGTGCACCAATATCCTTTTTTTTATCCTTCGAGACTCGTAAAATTTGCTGGTGCGGACTGAACAGACCGTCTAACCAGTAAACATTCTCTTCCTTGTGCCCCATGTGAAAAAGATTAAGGCGGGCGAACGTGCAAGCTTGAAGTTATTTTTGTTTCCTATGGAATTCCTAGAGAAAACTGGACTGGCAATTCTATGTTTCATGTTTTCGTGTCTTTCCCTTTCTATTTTATGACCGCGTGCCTACATGCTCATCAAATTGAAGTGTCCCCAGGACATTGTTTTGCAGCAACATATTTGTTGTGCCCAAGGCACTCTTCTTCAAGTTGCAACTAGAAATTGAATTGTTGGCATTCAGCTTTGGCTCATGACCAATACCAAAGATGCAAGCGCAGCGCAACAAGGAACAAATTCGCTGCCTCCCTCCTTAACCAGGCTTTCGGGTTATCTTCCGGGATTATCTCGATGGTGGAGCATCATCTTAGTGATTTCGAGAAAGAGCGAGCCGGCGCAAGTTTGCTTTGATTATTCCCTAACACGTCGGCACTCGAAGTCCGACGAGGTCGTCCATCGTAAATTAGCATTTCGTTGCGCTGCTGGTTTTACCCGGGACAGCCCACCCATGCTCGATGCTGGCAAGGGAGTGCACCGTCGAGGCGGTAGCACGTCGATACCATTTAGCCGTATGCATGTAAGCCGTAATGCCACCGCACCCATAGTCTTGTGCGTGCCACACGCTTCAAAGACGCTCACAAATGCCGATTCGCCGGATCTTCCACGGCGGGCGTTGGAACAAAGGACCACATACCCTTACTGCATTTTGTTTTTTCTAGCTAGACGGCACGGGAGCGCGTGCCATGCTCCCGCGTCGGCCGTAAGAGAGAGGGAGAGGGTGGTGTGGACGGTCGGTTCTGCTGTCTGGCAGGGTTGCCAAGCGAACGTTCCGACTCGGGCGTTCAACGAAATTTATACGAGCGTTGCACGTGTCGGAGAGCGCTCCCGCCGATTGTAATGTCAAGCCAAGATGTTCTCGGCTCGACGTCGGCTCTTGCAGTGCCCTTGTGGAGAAAGTGCCCCCTCCCCCCTTCGAGATGCGCTTGGCAGGTTTGCGATTTCGTCTGCAAGGAGCTACCAAGTAACCTGGACCCTCCGAAATATCCCAATAGAGAAACGTTTGCTTGCATGCACGGACGTTGGTCCTGCATAAAATAGAAGAACGAGGATGCGGGAAACTCGGATGCCCTTGAGCTTTGCACCCAGCCTCGTTGCCGAGCCATCTGGTACCGACTTTGGAAGTTGACGGTGCCCGACGGACCTTCGCGGTACGTCCTCTGCACATTTTCGATAACCGAAATTGCCAGAAATCTGTTTTTGCAGAAACTTCAAAACAGACGTCTGCAGTGAAAGTACTTTGTCGTCTACTGCCGTTTCCTAGCGTCGTTCGATCCAGATGAATCCGTTCTGGCTTGTGATTGGTTGTCCCATAAAGGCCGATTAATGTAAACCTTTTGCGGAACGAGTAGCGCGATGAATGTGGCGATGACTCCATTTAGGCAAAAAAAGCGAGCGTGCAATGTGGCTTCCTAGCTGCGCCGAGGATTACTCCTGGAGGATTACGGACACTCGTCTGATGAAGCCGTCTTCCCTTGGGAGAGGTCTGTTTGGCCAGTGCAATATTTTTGTTACCTCTAGATGGTGGTGCTTTTGCAGAAAAGAGACAATATCGACTTGAAACGTCAGAATGTCTTAGAAAGTCTAAGACTGCGTCAGGATCCGTTTGGGCAGTCCAAATCCTGTCGAGCGCAGCTTCGAGCTGGGGCAGGCGGAGGGCCCTTTCTGGCTGTACATACAAAGGACTCCACCCTGTTTGCAAAATGGGGCTGCTTCTTCCCTACGGAGGGCGTCGTTTTTTCATCTTGCAACAAACTATTCAGTGTAGTCAACATGTATACGAAAGGTTGTGAGACTCTCGGCTTCACATTTTTACACACCTCGTAGACGTAGCGCTTTTTTCAAAACGTGGTTTCCAGCGTCGACACACTTTTGGCGGCTCTTTTCGTAGCTCTAGGTAGCTTTTTTACGGCAACGACTCCGAAAACTTGCCCCCCCCTCCCCCCCACTGCCGCATTCGCCGTGAGCGGTTCCGGTCTTCGGCGTGCCTCCCTCCCGCCCATATTGCACCGTGGCCGGCGTCCCAACTGAGAAACGCCGTCGCGACAGGCACCTTCTGCACCCCACTATCGATCGCGAAGAAACGTTTGCCTCATGTTCTTCTCCCTAGGCTTAACGAAGGGCTTCTTTCAAAATGAAAGCATTTAGGAAGGACGTAGCGAGTCCCAGTCGTCGCTAGCATCGCAGTTGCACGAGGACTCTACTTTGCTAAACCTTTGAAGAACGAAAAACGATAGAATGACGCGTCCCGTGTCGTCTTGACCACACCACCCCCGTCAACAAGCGAGTCCTTCGGGCGTGGCGACCCGTGTTCACCGAATTCGGCAAATCTGAATCCTTCGAGCACAGCGATTCTGATTCGCCGAACACGAAAGATTCACTGCACCGACGACTGAATCGGGGTTCCCATGCCGCGTCGAACGGGATTTTGAACTCGTCCCAACTGGGCAGCGACCTCCAAGCTGACGTTCAGTTCGCATTTTCCGCCCGTCTTCCGCTTGCCTTCTTCGCCGCCTCGAAAGTTTGACTTCCTCCTCTTCGACTGGAAAGTGCGTGAAGCTTTGTCCCCCTCTCGCGCTTCCTCCTCGTGTTTCGTCGCGCGTGACTCGCGCCTTCGAAAACTGCCGAAAATCTTTCGATGGTTTGTCTGGGTTCGAGTTCTCTATCCACATTATGATTCAGAGGACTTGCCCTCACCTCATATCCCTTGCTTTACCCAGGCGTAGCGAGGCACTTTCCCCCTTAAGCTTCTTTTTGTGCACTGTTTCACATTAAGTTCGGCAGCAGCCAACGCTACTACTCGACGGAGCCGATCGAGCGGTGCCAAAAGTGTATCGTCAGGTGCTCGTCGTGCTTGCTACCACCGGCACGACCGTTCGCAAACAAGCGAACGTAAAGTGGTCCCATGCTCTTTTTGCATGCACGATTGGTCTCGCTAGTGATGGGGGGCAAACGCGCTAAGGAAACGATCACCGAGACGACGGCTTCGACAGATCGTAGTGTTGGCTGCGGTTGAACTCGACGAAAGAAGGAACGCAGCCTTTGCACGGCCGTACGGGAATGCGTGTTCGTTCTCGGCCGCCTTTATTTATTTCGCACGAAGCGGCCAACTTGTTTCATGCTTTCCGAGCACCGTGGACGGCTGCGACGGCTCTGTTCGAACGAAAGTCGAAATCCCGTTTCGTGCCACCCTTTATACCCCGCGGGGCACGCGTTGACAAGCTTTCGACGATACCCGAACTGTTTTCGCTTCCTCGCCGCACCGCGTGCACGCCGGTCGCAACAGCCAAGTGCCTACGTTACCGAACCTAGCCGAATGCGTTTGCTGTCCCGCTCGTTGACCGCACTTCGCTCTGCCGCCGAGCCGAGATGGCGGGCAGGAGCTACGTACCGGCCGGACGAATCAAGCCATCGGCATTGCGCGATGTGACTGCTCATCACGAGTGATTACGTACCCAAGGCACGGTTGTCTATGCCGTCGTCTGTTCGCCCTCGGTTCCCGGAACATGCCTCTGATTGGCGTCTACCATCCCATTGTGACCTAGCGTCGAAAGTGGTAGCTGGAGTGGCAACAAACAATGTCGTGGGAGCCAAAGTCCATGGGCGTAGGAAGCTTCTGGTGGCAGCATGAGGCCACCGGAGGTGAAGCCAGGAGTGTGGAGGGACACGACCCCAATGGTGACCAAAACCAAGAGACGCTATTGTACGAAAAGGAGAGCCGTCTCAACAGCTGTTTTGGTGGCCCCGAGGGTGGTTGAAAGAGCTTTTCAGTCAGATCTCGTTTTCGTCCAGTAGTGTCTCTCGGTTTAGGTCGTCGTTAGGGGCGTGTTCCTCCACACTCCTGGCTCCCCCCTTTGGGGTTGTCACATTGCCTCAGAAAGCTTCCCATCTCCGTGGCAAACGACTTTTGATCCGCAGACAGTGCCACTAAATAAGCTATGCTTCAGAGGAACGACACTCGCCCGTATTGTGGCTTGAAATCATGGTTGCAAGTTATCTGATGCTTTATCTGAAATCGCAGGAAACGCTTTTCCGTCCTCCACTAATGTTTAAACAATTTGCGGCAGAGCAAAGCAATATTGCGTGAGCTTCCTAACACCGAATCGAACACTGAGGAAATCACACTTTCGAATCATGACGATAGGCAGTTGCATCTGCTTTGCACAAGCACCAAAATGGCGGTGCCCGCAGCAGTGTTGGCGAACAAAGTGCCGATACACCAAGCGCAGCTCATTTAGTGGCTATAGGCGGAATATGACGCTAAACGCTATGATGTGCGGGCAGAATAAGACTCGAAACGCAAGTTGCAGATGCGTTCCAGGTGCCGTAGCTCGGCCGGTGCACAGATCCTGGCCCGCCACCGGCCCGGGTTTGGCAGTGGGCGGTGCGTGGCGCACATAGTCGTCGGTTCTGTTTCTCGAACCGCAGTGCGCGGTGGTTATTCCTTTCGCCGACAACCACTGCCCGGACAAGAGTCGGCTTTCTACTACTGTCCCGGTAGCCGAGACTAGCAATTTTTAAGGGAAGTCCTAGACTAGCGTGCAAGAATGCATTTCATGGATTTCGTCTTCGTCATTTTTTTTTGTTCTCTTTTTTTTTCTTCGGCGTCCAGAACAGTGGCGGCCAACGTTGTGGCCGGCGCGGGGTATTTCGGTCCCCCGATCTACGCTGTGGTCCTTCGGGGCGAGTTGTTAGGAGTTCTTCGTTACGTAGCCAAAAGGCGGGAAAAAAAAAAAGAAACGAACCGTGGAGCTCAGATTCTAGCAGCTTTCTTTTCTGAGAAGTTTGCTGTTTCTTCCGTTTCGACGCTGAATGTTTTGAGTCTGTTGAGAGGTATTTATTTGTCGAAGGAAGTGGGCATTGCGTGCCGTCTGTGACCCGACCCGCTTTTGATGAAGTCTAAATTTTTTTCCTCAAAATGTGCCGTTTTACGTCAATGGCATGTGGCTAATCGTACTCAAAACTTTGTTTTCTCTCGGTGTGTTTTTTATATATCAACAGCCCGTGATATGTGATTCAGGCTTTATTCGCCTTTCTTGTTCCAAAACCTAAGCTCCAGCCAAAGGCTAGAATGGAGCAAATATGCGGCGAACGAGACAAACTTGGCCTTACGGCGTGTTTGCTTTGCACACGGCGTCGACAGCCACGTTTCGCCACTATGTGCAGAGCAAATGCCATTGGGCAAAATTCGTCGCTTCTTTGCAGCATATTCTCAAAGTCCAGCCCTTGGCATGCATTATTTTTAGTTTTTCCTAAAGTGTTTTTTCTTCAGCTTTGAGACGACATATGTGAAAAATTGCAAAAATAAAGCCAATATTTATTAGGTTTTTTCTTTTAAATCAGGTAAGGCTGTTTGAAAGTTTGTTATTGACAGTTTCTCATACACTGAATGGTGCTTGTTTCTTATGTGTTCTGCTTTTCTTTTGATATAGCCCCCATCAGAATGAAAGGGCCGTTTTATGTGTGAGCCAAAATTCTTTGACTCCTTTTCACCTCAAGAACCATATTAAAATCTGCTTGGTTCCTTGGGGAGTGTTACTAATTTCCTCCTTTATTCAGTGAATCAAGTTACTTGTATACGCAATTAAGATAATTTATTTGTTATTTTGTCATGATGTACACATTTTGACACTCGTAAAGATGTTTTTTTTTTTCTTAATTTTCCGAGAGCCAAAGGTTGTTGAAACTGCTTTTTGCAGTGAAGGCGCTATGTGCTAAACTTTTTTTCTTTTCTTAAGGTGACAAGTATAGTATCTTTTAATTGGGTCTCCATGCAATGTGTTCAAAGTGTGTTGAGACAAATATTTAGAATTTTTTTTCAACGACTCGTTTATTGTCCGGAGTTTATGTCTGTGTTTGAACTGTGCGAGTAAATTATTTCGGCACAACCTGTTTCCACCATCGGTGTTGACATGACAAAGCAGCTAAAGCGATGTTTCTACAATATTGCCATAGGTTGGCTACCCAACAGTAATCAGCTTGCAGTAACCACCGTGGCAACATAGATTTATGTATCTGTTGCTTTGTTTTTCAGGACACTATATATATAGTGGATTGTTTTCTCTTGCTTGTCAAGAGATCCAATGGTTGTGGCACCTTGAATATTTATCGAAGGAAGAGTTGCGTGTTGTGCGTTTTGACACGGCTGTCCGATATTCGACTACACAATTGTTGCCTTTTCTTCGTGCTTGATAGTCTTGCCCTCTCACACCCTTTTTTTCCCAAGGCATTGCACAAATTGCAAGTGCAAAAGGTGAAAATGCTTTTCTGTTTGCATTACAAGTTGCTAGTCATATTTGTTTTTAGGAACATTGTTTTCTGCTCGTGTTTGTTGAAGGCGAGCTTAAACAGGATCAGTGCTGTTTTGACGTATTTGCATTGGACTTTTGAAGCATGCAAAGGAAGCATTGCTCCTCTCTCATCGTGGGCTATAGCACGTTGGCAGACTTGAAGTCAGCATTGTACACAGACTGCACAAAATATACTCGAATTTTTTCTAGTCAGCCTCCTCTAATGTATCTTTTTACCAAGTACAGTTGGCTTTTGCTTAGTTTGGTTTCTAACAGCAGTCAAAGACACCTCTGGTGTATTCAGTGTTTGGTGAGATGAATCTCTTCTGGACTAACAAGTGTCTTGTGCGTTTCTTTTGAAACATCGATGGACATTTCTGCATCGTCTGAATGAGGTTGTGCTTCTAATGGGTTGAGGCTGCGTTCAGCGTCAAGTTACTGTTTTGGAGTTGCCCTGGTGTGACCCGAGTTGCACCGAGCTTGCTCCAAACTGCCCACTGAAATTCACCCATGGTGGGATATGTGTACGTTTTCGCTTAAAAGATTGTGAGCGTGACCGACTACGCGCCTTTGAGGATGTTTTGTGCGTTTAGTCCCTGAACATAACTTAGGTTGTCTTGAAGTATTTGCCGTTCGGTTTTTGGCCATCATTTGTGAACACTTATCAGCATTTCTTGATTGTTTGGATGTTGTTTTTTGTTGAAATAAATCTAATCGCTGATAGTTTGGAGTCTGCCTCTTTATGCTGCTTTATTCTTTTTTACGGGATCTGTGCAAAGGATAGTGTATAAAGTGCACATCTCCCACCACGCATGATGCCTTGAAGGAGCTAGAATGACCTATAGATGTCTTGGTTTACCTTAGATGGCTACAAGGCCCTTTTTCCAGATGTGTCTCCCTCAATGTCTCCTAAGGCATTGCATAACCGTTTGTGATGTCTTGAAGGAGTTAGAATGACCAATAGGTGTATTGGTTTACCTTAGGTGGCTACAAGCCATATTTTCAAAACGTATCTACATAGATGTCTCCTAAGTCATTGCATAACAAACCGTTCATGGTGTGTTAATGGAGCTGGAATGACCTATAGATGTCTTGGTTTACCTTAAAGGGCTACTAGGCATATTTTCAAGACATATCTACTTGGATGTCTCCTAAGGCATTGCATAACCGTTTATGACGTTTTGAAGGAGCTAGAATGACCTATAGATGTCTTAGGTTACCCTAAAGGGGCCCTGCAACAACTTTCTGACTAGTTTTTAGGTTGCACCGAGTCTGAGTGCACTGAACGTAGTAACTTAATAAACCTTTTCTCGGATTTCGCTTTATTTTAAACGTTATAGGCAAATTGAAATTTTTAAAAAAGCAGAACATTTTTTTTTATAACGTCGCTGGTCGTGGCTTGAGTGGCCGTGAATTAGAGAAGGGGTAGTGAGCTCACTACCCCTCTTCGACCGAGGCCACTGTGAGAATAACAATAACGTGCGTCAGCACTGCGGGCAGCTAACTCTTAACTGCCAATGATCTGTTTCGAAGTATAAACTTGACGTCGGTGGCCATTCCCACGACCGAGGCCACTCTGAGAATAACCATAACGTGCGTCACCACTGTGGGCAGCTAACTCTAACTGCTAATGACCTTTTTCGAAACAAACGGGACGGCTGTGGCCATTCACACGACTGACGCCACCCTGGGAATAACAATACCTTGTGTTAGCACAGTGGAGAGCAAAATCCCAGTGCTAGTGATCCGTTTCGAAGCATAATAGGGATGTCGAAAGTTCCCTTGAAGTCGATGGCCATTATGACTCTTGGGTCGCACTTCGGCGAGTTGGCTAACACCTCGTGGTGGATGAGGAGCAGGCTGCCCTGTGCGCCGAAGTGTGATCTGAAGGGGTGTGGCATAGATTTCCTGAATTTCAGAGGTGCCAGTGTACTCGCTTGAAATATATCGTAAAAACAGCACCGATTGCTTGACGTGAGGAAAAGTCGGCTACAACATTGATGAAAGATTGGTGAGAGGACGGAGATCTGGGGAATGCCAATGCCAGTAACTAAGCCTAGTTCAGTTCGACTCAAGCTTGATATCGTCCGTCTTGCAGAAACGCTGTGATGGAAGTGAAGCGGTCTTTCATAGAGACCTCAGATTTGAGCCTCCCGGACTAGTGCAATGTAGAGGATTAAATCAAACCTTTTTAGAGCCGATAAGAACCACAATGCACAGATTGCAGCCAGACTTGTTGCCAAGGACAAAGTTGTGAAGTACTGAAAGGTTGATTTTGAGTACTTAGGTGGCTTCTAAAACTAGTTTAAAATGAATGGAGGTATTTCTGGGTTTTGCGATGCTATGGTCTGTAACAGGCGTAATCCCCTTTTCCGTTGGTGCTGCTGTAGTGCCCCATCAGCTGACCCAGAGGTCAAATTTATAGTGCAGGTCACTATTTGGGGTCCCTTCTCGCACCCGGATCAACTGGGTCACCTCCTGGAAGGCCTGGTGATGTACTGGTGGAGCAGAATTGTAGGATCATTCTAATGGGCTGCTAAGAAGTTATCCCATACAACGAATCATGCAGAGCCCTTTGAAGGCTGAGGTCTAAGGCTTGCAACGGGATCAGATAGGTAGGTGGTCGCTTTGCACTGTCGGTGTGCACTCGCCATACCCCTCGGCTTGGGAGGCCCAAGCTAACCCTTAGCTCTCAGGCCCGAGCCCGCTGTGCTTGTCATAATTTTGCACCAATAACGCCGATAACGAGTTTATCTTGTCCAGTCCAGAATCATTTCAAATTTGCCTGATGGTTCCTTATCCAATTCCAGGTCGTGAACTTTAACACACAGGGACGTGAAATTCATTTTCTTTTTTTGTTTAGAGTGCATTTTGTCTGGCAGTGGGTATCTAAAAGTGATGCCTGCGATAGTGTTTAACTGACGCGGCTCGGAAACGGGCTTTTTGTGCGGTGCCACTCATTTATTCAAATGACATTTCCCCGACAGTTTGTTTCATCAATGCTGCAACGTTTTATCAACAGATTGTTTCATGGATTGACACTCGCTCATCGACATATCTTGCTATGTTTCATCGACAACATTTTTGTTTGGTTAGGGGTGCGCTGGTTTGTTGGTGAGCAAGGCTACAGGTACATGCACGGGGCAGGATTACCCTTACACGCTGCTGTGAAGCGGCATGTATGGGTGGGCCCGGTGGGTCCACATTTTTGTAATGAACTGCTGCAGACTGTCGCCGCAAAGCGTCGTGAACTGGGTGGGTCAGATAGTTTAACATGTGCCCCAGTGATAAATGCACAACAAAATGTTCCTACAGCGTGCAATTTGTGTGTCGATGAAACTTCACAACACGGTGGGGTAGTATCGATGAAACGAGTCGTAAAAAGTTGATGACACGTGTCAAGGAAACAACAGGGACCATTTTTTTCCGATGGTTCCATGGAAGCTCTGACAATAAGGACTGCGAACTTGCCTCCAAGAACTTCAATGTTTTTTTACACGAGCCTGTCCTCTAGTTCACGGCCACTCAAGCGACCAAGGACGTGACGAAGGATGTTATTTTTCGCTTGTTTTTGTAATTTTAGTTTGCCTATAACTTCTAATATAAAGCGAAATTCGAGAAAAGTTTCATTAAGTTACTACGTTCAGTGCACTCAGGATCGGTGCAAATTAAAAACCAGTGAAAAAGTCCTTGAAGAGCCCCTTTAATTTAGAGGTAATTGTGACCACAAGGTCCGTAAATGGCAATCACACATTTGTATACTTTGAGCCTGATGGCTATATTTATCATTCCTGAGAAAAATGGCATAACTGGACTTAAGAAAGAAACCAGATATGGTTATATAAAAAATTGGGCATATGCGGCCATATAAAGCATATCAGTTTATATCGAGCATATCTTGCCAGATATGCCAATCTTTTAATATATCCATATCTGGGCCTGCTAAATACTGGCATATCTGCCTCCCATTGAAGGCCAGATATGTCCCAATCAAATAAGGCAACTTTTATGTATATTGTTTTCTACAAATATCTACTAAAAGTGACATCTGTATAAGAAAAAAAAATGCCAATTGGATATTGAGCATTTACCAACTTTTATTAATTTTTACATGAGCTGCTTCACGCCACTCCTGATTTCGCTCAACTTGGTTCCCAGGGAAAGCAGGATTATCGACACTCCGTAATGATTCTCGATGAAGCGTGTGTCCATTGAACGTGTACCCACGCAAATGTGGGCGTGGAACGTGTTATCACGGAACGCAGGGAGAATAAAAAAATCAGTATTCTACCTTCAGTTGTGACATGATTTCAGACGGCCAATGGCAGGGGACTGCTGGTAGAATTTCGGGGAAATTATTCTGCCGGCTGCCAGGAGATAAACACGGCCTAATTCTGGAGGTAATCTGGAAAAGTACCTGTCGAAAAACGATCAATTGTCGCGAAGTAGGTTGCAGCGCACTTATCGTTGGCAATACCGCACTTGAAATGTGTAATTAGAGATATATTGCCGCGAGCGCAGCTGACTAAGCAGGCAGCGCGCTCGTCGCTTAATGGTTATGGCGCGTGCCTTCCACGCAGAAAACCAGGGTTCGATTCCTGGCCGCGTTGACGCATTTTGTTGACTCTAACGTAAGGCTCTAACGTCTGCTAAATTCGAGAACCGTGTTGGCTGATTCGAGGTTAGAATGCTCTACAAGCCGAACCTTCTACGCCGATTGTTCCAGAAGCCCGCGCGTGTACAAAAGGGACTCCGCGTGGCAAGGCGGAGTCAGTCTCGTCCAAGCGCTCAATCCTGCTGTTACGCCGCTATCGACGCCCGCGATGCTCATTTGTTATTTTCTGTTTCCTTTTTATTTTTTGGGCAGAAGTTCGCCCCATTGAACGTTTAGTTTACTTCACTTTTCGTCGCCTCATCACTTGTCATTCATGACAATATGTCGATACGGGCACGGCAGAGCAACCACTGAAACATAAAAACGAGAAGGAAGGTGTCCGTGGAGATTCAACACGATGTAGCACAAGCTGTCATTTGTGGAACCGAACACTAAACACATCACAAAACATCTTCTTTGAAGATATCACTTGTTGTCGATATACGGGTAGGACTTTTCGAACGAGATACCATTTACTACAGAAGCAGAATCCACAACAGCCACCCAGAGAGAACCACACGCCAAACTAGGTACGCAACCAGGCATTCCGAGATTGCCAACGGCTAATGCATCATCCGTCACACCACGCGACCACGCTTCTGCCATTTTCCGCGCACAGAGAGCGGAGTCAAGCGATAAAAAGTCTACGGCTGCTTGGTTTGGCAAGTGCGGACCTTCTGCCACGCTTTCAGCTTAGGGAGAGACCGAAAAGGAGAGAAAGAAAGGCGAAAATGGGAGTGCACACACAAAAGGATTAACTTCTGGGGCATCCCAATAATGACCACAACGAGAGGATTTGTCACTTGTACCCAATGTTGACATTGCGGTGACTAATTTGTCACTTGTACCCAATGTTGACATTGCGGTGATAAAGCAGAACACGGCACCTGCCTCAAGCCTTGGGCTTGAGGCAGGTGCCGTGTTCTGCTTTATTATCAGCTGTAGTCACGACGCTAACCGGAGACACGATTGGCCTAAAACACACATAGCGTCTACCCTGCTGTCAATACCGAGTGAGGGGGTGTCCATACAGGACACTACAAAACGCACGACTCCGACAAATCGTGAAAATTGAA